TTGGCCCAGTGCAGCCTGAACAGGAAGGGGGCAAATTCCTCCCACTCCAAAACAGCCTATAACCTTTTGGGAACTGAGATGTAAGGCCTTGAGTTCTCTCAGGTAGGAGAGAATTTGAACTCAAATTTTCAGTTTTCTCTAAAATGCCACTAAGCCATTTTTAAAGGGGGAGGGCAAAACCCTAACCCCTTCACTGAGTTCTAAAAGAAGTGAGATCTGTTTGGTTCTTTGAAATAAAAGTATAGGCACCTGCTTTCAGGGGAAGATTTTGGACCATGGATGGTGAGTGGATGGAGGTGTCTCCCTCCAGCTTGGAGTAAATGTCTGCATTTAAGATGCTGTAATCACAAGTATTTCCTAAAATTTAGGATCCTTTTTCAAGTTTCCTAATTCTCCATTTACACACAGTGTAAGGAGCCTAGGCATTTAGTACTGAGTTCTGGATTTTGTTGTTTGACTTCTAGGTACTTTTTTTCTTTTTGTATCTAGCCCCAAGTACCTTTACAGAAGTTCTTGTTTGGTGTGAAAATTGCTTAGGTGATTTTTTTTTTTTTTTTTTTGTGTGATGTGCTTAAGCAAAATGCCACCTGTGGACAGGTCTAAAGAGCTGCATTTCTGGATCTGACTGGGCTGGAACCTTGTCAAACTGAATACCTTACATGGGATATCTTGGAGAGCAGCCTGGTTGGCATTACATTGGGAGTTAAAACTCAGGTAGACTGCCTGAGTTGCTGATGATTCATTTTGCCAGACATGCAAATTAGGTTCATTCAGTTTACTGTGGGAATGGCATCATTCATCTTGAATAGCATTAAGAAGATTCAAGTTGTCTAATTGCACTGTATTGGAACATTATTTAACTAATAAATGTACTAATTTGAGGGAGCTTCCTGTTAGTGTTATAATTTATCCTGGGATGACTGCTGGTAATGCTGAAGGCCAAAGCCTTTTGTAGCACAGAAATAGCACTGTTACTGAGTCAAATGGAGGCAACTTCAAGTTTTTAAATGAAACTTCTGTGTTAAACAAACACATTTTAAATGAAAGTGTTTTTAAAAAGATCTCATCTAAATAGTCTGTAAACTCTGTGACCTACAGTAGGACTCCTACCTTTCCTGCTTCCATGAACATTATACACATTAAGAAACCCACAAGCTTTTCACTGCAAAAATGGATTTTTTATTGTTCCTGAATCCAATTTTAATGAAACTTGAATACTCCAAATATGCTTATTTCACAGCCTGATTAAATTAGTGGAATTTGAAATATGTGCACCCCCAGAGACATACATGTTCACCTGACAATAATCCAACTGACACTGGATGTCACCGTTGTACCACATAAACTTAACAGAAGGCAGGTTGGCACTTCATTCTGGGTATATAAAGCCAGTCTTCTCATGTTGGAAAAGAAAAAGTCTTGGCTTGTGGCTCTCCCATCTAACTGCTATGAAAAAAAACTCGTGGGGTACTGTGTTATTTAGGATCCAATTTCGACACCCTTATTCATAGTGAGATGCACACGAGTAACTCCACCAATGCCAGTGGAATTGATTCTGCTACCCGTGCTTCATGCATTCATGTTAAAATGAATGCGATTGTGGAGTAAGATGTGACTCAGACTGAGTAAGGTAGAAACCCTGCTAATACTGAATATGGCAATGCTTCAGGAATGAAGGGGCATGTGGAACATTGCCTTTGAATGAATGCATACTGAAACTAATGTAGCATGAAGAAAGTGAGCCAAATTCTGCTTTATTAGACTGGTGTAAATACCAACTAATTTCATGGGGATTGGAGGACTTACTTATGGAGTGTAGAATTTGGTTTAGAGACCCTAAAATACATGTAGAAAACTTTTTAAATGTAATGTGTGCATGTAGGGGAGTATGAAATGTACTCATTGCCAATGACAGAAACCCTAAATGTGCACATATATTGCCCACACATTTTATTTTTGTGTAAAGAATATAGGAATATGGTTTGGTTGGGAATCCTATCCAACAGCTGCAATAGAAGGAACATTCAAGAAGTGTGTATTAAAGGGGTTTTTTGTTTCTTGTTTTTGTTTTGTTTTAATGTCTACATAAATTTTCAAGATGTGAAGTCCTTTAAAATATACGTTATATACAGAGCCATATATTCAGCCTTCTTGTGAGTGGCATTTAAATTTATATGTTGTGCGCCTTACTTGTGTACATTGGTAATAACGTAATGGAAGAATAGATGGATATATAGAATTAGAATTAAATTAATTCACTATGGATATTGGACTAATAAGGTCAAACCTGCTTCCTTCCCAAATATATAGAGCAACACAATGCCCGAATAATGACAACCACCCTGGTACTCACAGAACGTATCACAAGAGAAGACCGAGGCTCAGATGGAAACTATTTACTTTATGGTTCCTCATGTGCCCAAATCTCTGAAGAAACTGAATATGTAAAAAAGGTTGTTATTATCATTATTATTATTATGCAGCTCTATTTACTTGTCTTATTCTCTAATCCACAGCAGAAAAAATTATCAACTTATTATCCTTCTAAACATTTAATTTGGAAAATTAAGAGTTTGCTCTCCTTTAAACTTTCTTCTATTATATTGGTTATTCACACACAAACTCATGAAATACTGTTTTGCTTGAAATAAGAATTGAATTGTGTATTGTTATAGATGAGATACTCAGTGATATTGGTAGGTTTTTCCATTCATCTTCTTAGGATTCCTGTAAGAGACATTTAAGCACGTTAAGGTCATGCACAACAAAGATGTTCAAATTCCTAAGCAGATATGCCTATCTGGGGAAAGAATTAAAGAGACACCCATGAAAACAGGCAGGACAAAAAATCAGGTACTTCCGGAACAGACAGTGAGAGCATAACTCGGAAAAGGACCAGAGGGAGAGAGAAAATGCTTTTGGCTGTTGTTGAATGAGTTTTGGCAACATGAGAAAGAAATCACTTACTGGTTGCTTGAGTCCTCTGTGTTCAGGAAAACAGGGCTCTGTGCACAAATGAGATTGCACCAAGGAAATATCTTATTCGGTTTCCTTTACATGAAACACCATGAAAGATCACTAAAATTTTTAGGTAATCATACAATTATAGGAAAGTAGGGCTGGAAGAGGGACCTCATGAGGTCATCTAGTCCAGGCCCATGCTCAAGGCAGGATCATCCCTAACTAAAAACCATCCTTGCCAAGCGTCTCTGTAACTTGCTCTTGGACATTTCCAGGGATGGAGTTTCCACAACTTTTTTAGGTAGCCTGTTCCAATGTTTGGCCACCCTCATAGTCAAAAAGTTCCTCTTCATCTCCAGCCTAAATTTCTTCTGTTGCATCTCGAGTCCATTGTTCTTAGTCCTGTTCCCTATGGCCACAGAAAAAGCCTGTCTCCATCCCCTCTGTAATTACCCTCCACATGAGGCCTGACCAGTGCTGAATAGGGCAGAAGAATCACTTCCCTTTATTTGCACATGACATTTCTGTTAATACAACCCAGCTTGCTTTTGGCTTTTTGTGCAAAAAGAGTGCACTGTTGGCTCATATTCATCGTATAGTCTACTGTAACCCCAAGGTCTATTTGTAGTACTCCAGCCTAGCCAGTCATTTCCCAGTCTGTATTTGTCCATGTTCTAGTTATTGTATCCAAGTGCAGGACTTGCCACTTGACCTTTTTGAATATCATCTGATTGAATACAGACCATTTCTCCAGTCTGTCCTGGTCATCCTGGATCCTAGCCCCAGAATATCTGCAACCCCACCCGATTTGGCATCATCCATAAATTTGCAAATCATGCACTCAGTCCCACTGTCCAAATCATTAACAAAGATATTAAACAATAACAGACTCTAGACAGTTATTGAGTGTTCCCCTGGGGAACCCTGTTTGCTACCTCCTCTCAATTAGTCATCAATGGCTCAATGTCGATTTGTTAAGAACGATGATCCAACCAGTTTGTATCCATGTTACGGTGCTTTCACCTAGTCCGTGTTTCCGTAGCTTGTTAATGAGAAGGTCTTGGGGAAACCGGGTCAAAAGCCTTGCTGAAATCAAGGCATATCATATCCATTCTTCCCCCCATCCACAGAACCTGCTACCTTATCATAGAAGAAAATCAGGTTTGTCAGGAATGAGTTGCTCTTGATGAATCCATGGTAGCTGTTATTGATCACCTTATTCTCCAAGTGCTTCAAATTTCTTGAGGACCTGCTCCATAATCTTTCCAGATATTGAGATCAAGTTGACTGGTTTATGGCTGCCTGGATCCTCCTCCTCCATCCTTTCTTAAAGATAGGCATTATATTTGCGTGTTTCTAGTCATCCCATACCTCACCTGACCCCCATGATTTCTCAAAGAGAATAGTCAATGGCTCTGAAATTACCCCTGCCAAATCCTTCAGTACCCTAGGGTGCATCCCATTCAGCCCTGCTGACTTAGAAGCATGTAGCTTTTCTTAAGTAATCTGTAACCTGTTTTTCTACTATTCCAGGACATTTATCTAATTTATCAAATTCCCTATCTTTGTTGCCATCATCTGGTACCTTCCCCTGTTTGTGAAGACTGAATGAAAAAAGGCATTAAATACTTCAGTCTTCTCTGCATCATCCATAACTAGATAACGTTCTGCTTGTTGCCTTTCATGTTGCTTGCCAGCTGCATCTCAAATTGTGATTTAGCCTTCCTAATTTTCTTATTGCATGCCCATGCAGTACTGTTCTTTAGTACAATGACCAACCTTCCACTTATAGGATTCCTTTTTGAGTTTCAATTCATTGAAGAGATTGCTGCCTTGCTAAGCTGGCCTCCTATTCCACTTCCAGTCTTCTGACACATTGGGATAGTTTGATATTATACCCTTAAGTGGGCTTCTCCTAAAATACAGCCAGGTCTCCTAGACTGCTTTTCCCTTCACACTTGCCTCCCTGGAGATCCTGCCTATCAAGTCCCTGAGTTTGTTAAAGTGTGCTTTTCTGAAGTTCAGTATCCTTATTCTGTGGCTGCCCTTCCTTCCTTCCTTCCCTTAGGATCTTGAACCTGATTGTTTTGTGGTCACTGGCTGTGTCTACACAAGACACTGACTGTGCAGTTGCTCATTAGTACTGCGCAGTAGTGTCGTGTCTCATGAACTGCGAGTACTCGCACTACTGTGCAGTAGTAATGAGCTACTGCGCAGTTAGCGTCACCTAAAGCCATTCGGTGATGCTACTGTGCAGTAACTCCAGTTACTGTGCAGTCATTTAGTACTTGTGTATATGTGTACTAAATGACAGTGCAGTCAGCGTCTCGTGTAGATGTGGCCACTTTCACCCAAGTTACCTTTCACCTTCACATTTTCAACTTATTCTTCCCTGTTTGTGAGGAGTAAATCGAGAAGAGCTTCCCCCCTAGTTGGCCTCTCTACCACCTGCATCAACAAGTTATCCCCAACACACTCTAGGAATTTGCTGGACTGCTTCTGCAGTTTCCCTCCCACCAGGTGTCCTGATCATTAAAGTCTTCCATGAGCATCAATCGGTTGCTTACAGAAGGCCTCGTCCACCTCCACCACGTTCTCCTCCTGGTTTGGTGGCCTGTAGCAGGCTTCCACCATGACATCCACTTGCTGCCCTCCCCTCTGACCTTTACCCAGAGGATTTCAACAGGCCTGCCTTCCACTTCGTCCTGTACCTCAGAACATGTGTACTTTACCTTTATAAATAGAGCAACACTTCCTCCTTTTTCACTGTCTATCCTTCCGTTTAGCATACACTGAACAAGTTATACCAATCCATGATTGTGCTCCAGTCCTGTGAACTATTCCACCCCATCTCCTATAATCTCAATGTCGTCATAATTCTGTACTTGTACTAGGATGTCCAATCCTTCTTGTTTGTTCCCTAATCCTTCCTGTTTGTTCCCCATGGTATTTATTTGCATTAATATATAAACTTCAGGTACCTAACCGACTGTCCTGTCCTGTCCTGTCCCTGGCAACACTGCTAAGGCTTCTGGTATTGATTCTCCTTACTATGTTTTTCTTATTCAGGTCCCAGGCTCTTACTTACTTTTACATTACTTATTTTTACTCTTTACTTACTCGTTATACTTTTGTCTTTATCCCCCTGTAGACCTAGTTTAAAGCCTTCTGTGAGAGACTAGCAATATGTTATCCGCTCTTTTTGGGTGAAAGAAACTTAAGTTGATCCTAACACTAGAACAAATAATTAAATCCAGTTTATTCATCAGAGATCTCCTGAACAGTGATGTTTGGCTTGTTGGAGACAGGTGTTTTATTTTTGGTAAAAAAAAAAACAGTAGTACACAATGGTGATGAATTGCAAAGGCTGCTTTTCAGCATTGCAGCTGACCTAGGGCTAATATCATGTAATAATAAGGGAGAACAATTGGATTGAATGATCATACTAATTAAAAATTATTTTTGTGACCTGTTTTTAATTCTCTTTTTCTCTATAGGTTAGATCCACACTAGCAAAGATTCAAAATCAGGTATGTAAAGACATTGCAAACCATAGAATTGCAAATGACAAAACAGGAGCAAAGGTATTAGTACTTTCTCTGTTTAGTGGCAACTGCCACTACAGAAATAGACCTACACACTCTAGGAGCCTACTCAAAAAGTATCCTTCTGACATGCAAATAGCCCCCAGTCAGGAAAGCTGTTTAGCACACACTGAACTTTTTAGGAGATGCTTACATCTCATTTTATTTATTGCATCTTTAAGCGCATTCTTAATATTCAATGTGCGCTTCAGATATCATTGGAAGTAGGGATATTTTTCTCATTTGGCATTTTTGCCTAAAATTGGATGAGCCTTTTTGTTTGTTGCTTTTGTGCAGTTTGCTGCTTATGAAGTGGCATTTCTGTGAAAGACTTGTGAGAATTAGCCACCTAGTTATGACTTGAGACAGGATATAATTTCTAGGGGTGTTGGCAGAGGGCAACACTTTGTAAATGTGGTAGGTAGATGGAGGTCGTTAAGGCTGGTTGATACAGCACTGGGCTGGGACTGGGAAACCTGGGTTTTGTTCCTATCCCTCTCTAGGTAAAAAAAAAAACCCATCTATTTAAGAGCAATTTCTGTGTGCACATCTTTCAGTGATATAGACTTTAGCAATTGTATCAGGCAATACTTAGTTTTTCCTAGATGCATTTCAAGGAGAATTGTATTTATTCTTTATTTGTATTTATTATTTATTCATCCATCGGCTTAAGACTTTTTTTGATTCTCAAAAATTACTCCTGGAATTACCTCTTTAAATAGATGCAGCTTGTGTATTAATGTGACACAATGGCACATCAAGATTTTTTTTAAACAGTTGCAGAAAACCTCTATACCTGGCTTTATTAGTCTCTCCCTACAGGCTTTAGAGTATGTAGGTTGTAAGAAACAGCTAGGAGTAGGACTGGAGTGAAATTCTGGATCATATTGTCCCCAGATCTCAAGGCTGAATATGGAGCCAAATATTTATTATGCATCTGATACATTTTCTCACATGAGCTCAACAACAATTCAAGATCAAAATAAGCCTAAACTTTAGATAACAACATGTGTTTAACTGTTGTGCTTTCAGGCTAATCTCACAGCAGATTCCAAAGCCTTGTAAAAATTGTAAAGAAAACTTTATAAACTAACAATGGACTGTAAATATTTAAACATTGAACCTTTTCATATACTTCCTTTACTTTAACCAAAAATATCTGCACCTTGCTGCAGTACGTGTGTCAATTTGAGAGCAACTGAAAAGTCCTTGGAGATTTACTGATGAAAAGCTCTAATTAAGAGCTAGGTTTAATTCTCCCATATATGATCAAGTGAACAGATAGGAATGCAATTGTGAGGGAAGTCAAGGCTACATTAATTATATGATGGATTTGAACATTTTCATGCTTTGGAATTTAAATGGGCATTTATTATACATAAGAGAATAAAGGCAAAGTTAGCAAGATGCTGTGAGTTAGTAGAAGAATGGCTGTGTCAGCAAAGGGGTGGTATTCAGGAAAGATCCTCTGAGTAAAGGGGACTGTTTTACAGTGAGCACCTTTTCAGTAGCATTAAGAATGCTCTTTTACTGTTTTGTATTGATTTGTTTTAAAAATGTACCTTGCCTAGTAAGTCACCTGAATGCTGGTATAAATTCTAAATGTTGGGGGCTGACAGTGGTTTTGTCCATGTCTAATCTGTATATTTTTTATGGGGATGGCATTCTTTTATAATTGTTGGCATTGTAAATCCTATGATTTATATGACAGATGTTTACAAAAAAGCTTTTGGGGTAAATAACATTTGCAATTCTGTTACAAATACTGAGCAAAACCTCACTGTCGTGCCACTGACTTCTGCTTTCTGTAGTTCACTTCGCTTGCACCAAATGCTGCAGCTGCATCTGTGTCTTAGAAGTGTAGGTGTGAATACAGTTGTGAGGGCAATTCTGATGATGACTTGGGAGTTATGCTCATTTGGATCTGCCCAAGGCAAGCAGGATTAGCTGGGAATGTTACCTAGAAGGCTGTAACTCATTGCTTGTTGAGGTCCATAGACCTTTGTCCTTGAGGCTCCTGATACTTAACATGAAATAAATACACTGACTCAGGTATAGGCTACAAAAGATGAATGTGGATAATTAAATGATGTGCAGTTGTGTAACCATGTAGTCCCCAGTATATGTTATGATGAATCTTTCACAGAGAGAGATGTTTGCTTAGAAAAATACCAGAGCATTAGAAAGTAAAGAATTACACCCTTCATCTGTCTAATGGGCACTTATTGTTCCCATAGGAATAAGAACACTTTATAATATTGTGAAATCAAGTACTAGAAAATTAGGAAATGGAAGAATTAAGGTTACTTGTCAAACCTTAATCTAGCCCATATTTGCATGGATTATGATACAGTCTTAAATTACATTATCTTATACAGTTCTCTCCCAAGCCCTTTGCATCATTTAGTTCACAGCATGCACATTGTGTATATGAGAGTAGATATTGGATTGTTTTTATTATTGTTCAGTGTGCGACCATAGGTCTGTTCCAACCCTGCTGTGAAGAAAGAATTATTGGTTTTTTTTTTTCCATGGGGTTTTCTATCATATCCATGCCTGTTGTATCAGAGCACTTCACAGATATTTATTAATCTTCACAACAACTATGGGAGATGATGGGAAGATGTTATCTCCATTTCATAGACAATGAACAGAGGCACAGAAACTAAGGTCAAAAACATCTACATTTTTTTGAAAATTTCTGTTCGGCCTTCAGCTTCCATTGGGTTCAGTTGTGGCTTTGAGTGTTCGTAGTTTTGGGAGCAGTTTTCAGGGTCTCAAGTAGATACCCCGAAAATAAGAGGCAAAGGGTAAGTAACTGTCTGTGAAAAGCATAGGTTAAATGACTTACCCAGCCTCACATAGGCACTTTGGGGGCAGGGATAGGATCAGGACATTATTTAACTTCTTTAACCACGAGGCCATCTTTCCCCTTCTTCCCATCACAAACCAGATTCATAACACCAGCGGTGTCAAACCCATCTGGCCCCATGGGGTGGAAGAGGGATGTGGGGTTGGTCTGTGGATGTGATCTGGAGCTGTAGGGTTGGTCTGGCATGGGGGCTGCATACACCACACACCCTAGACAAGCAGTGCATGTTGCTTGCAGCATGCATGCTGGCTCTAGCCCCACATGCTGTTTGCATCATGCATGGGCCCTGTGAGTAGCATGTGACATGGAGCCAGTCTGGACAGATGCTACACATAGCACCCAGAGCCATTCTGGTGTGTGCATGCTGCATGTGTTACACATGCCAGATCCTGCATACACGGCTGGTCTTTGGGTCCAATCTGGACTAGCTCTGGATTCAGCACGCAGGGCTGGTTTGGCTCAGGCCTCAGACCAGCCCTACACACTGCCTTCAGTGAGTACTGGCTCAAGCCTGGTAAAGCACATGGTGCATGGGGCCAGTCTGGGGCATTCACTGGCTGCAGCACCCACACCACACTGGCTTTGCAGGCAGGGTCCAGCATAGGAGTAGCCCCACACATTGCATGCTGACCCAAATCCAGCCTGCAAGGCTGGTCAGGTATAGGTGCCACATGCAACACATGCACCCTACTAGGTTGGTTCGACACAGTGTGCACCCTGTGCCAGACAGGCTCTGCACCTCACATATGGCAGGCATGGCCAAAGCCAGTGCATGCTGTGTGATGTGGGCAGCACAGCAGGCCAGATGATACAGCTTTGCAGGCCAGATCCTGCTCTCAGACCACATCTTTGACATGCCTGAATCACACACATTCCAGCCAAAGGAACCATCAGAGACGAGCCTCCTTCACTGCACAAGCCTGATTGGTTGCCAGACCACGTTCATTCTGTTCACCAAATGAGGTACAATTCCTAAGGAAAACATACAGTAGTATTTCTTGCAGTAAGTAATCACACACTAAAAATTGTAGTGTCATAATACACAGACATAAAAGGGCCAAGTTAACTTTCACAAGCTGATTTCTGAGGGTGTGACTTTACAAGTTGACTAAAGTTCTTCTGGAATTGTTTGTTTTTCCCCCTATGATTAGCTAAGTTGTAAAAAATGCAAATGGAGTGCACAGAAATGATGTGATATTGCATGAACACCCCTGCATCTGGTCTTGAGTAGGGTTGGAAACTTGTTTCAACTCAGATCTCTGCCACGTTAGTTGAGTGAAGGTAGATTCTGACCCCCTATGTGAACCAGAATTACCGGGTTTACAGTGCAAGTTTTGCCAGTGGGTTACACAGATATTTTCTGACAGCAAAAGTGCAGCGAGACTCCAGGATTGCTTGCCTGATTTCTCCTTCCCATGAACCCCAACCTTAAGGTATTCCAACCCAGACTCCTTGTTTCAGTTTCGCATTTCTTGACTCCTTTTCCTGCCTACTTTATCCACCCACATCTGGTTCTTTTTCTCAGCACTAGAGTTCTTTGTCATATTTGTCTCCCTTCTCATGTACTAAAGGGGGCTGAAGCTGGGGCTGAGCTGCCACCTGCCTCAGGCCAAGACGGCTGGTTTGGCAGGGGAGGAGGCACGTGGCTTGGGGGAGCACAGAGGAGAAAGCAAATTGCAGGGGAGCAGAGGAAGCTTGCATGTGTGACCTGTGGGGAGCATGAGGGACACGGCATAGCTTGCATCTTCTCCCCACTTGCCTTCTGCTCCAGCTCTGGTCCCTCCAGTCATAGTCCAGCCCAGCCTGGGGCTGCTGACGCTTCTCCCGGGTTTGGCTGAGACTTGGTTAGGGCCACCACTACTTCCCATGGCCCCAGAGCTGGAGCACAACTGTAGGAGAAAATAAGGGGGGTGGGCAGGAACAGGGGACAGGTGACAGGAGTCGGGCACAGGCGCAGGAGTCCAGACCATGCCCACAGACCAACCCCTCATCCCTCTTTCACTCCAAGGGGCCAGATGGGTTTGACACCCCTGGTGTAGTGAATTGGTTCGTGATGGGGAGAAGGGAAAGAATGGCCTCGTGGTTAAAGAAGTTGATGAATTCCCTGATCCTATCCCTGCCCCCAAAGTGCCTATGTAATGCTGGGTAAGTCATTTAACCTACGCTTTTCATAGCCAGTTACTTACTCTTTGCCTCTTATTTTCAGGGTGTCTATTTGAGACCCTGAAAACTCTGTTTTCCCTGCCACAGCAGTGGGAGAGAAATTTAAAATGATCTTTCACTGATTAGATTCTATACATGGAGAATTTATCAATGTGTTTACCTTTTATTGTAATTGCAAACATTTATAATTTTCCATATGTAGACTCTACATCTTATATTTGAAATCATCTTGGATTCAGGTAAATACAGTATATTTGTCTCTAGCCTCTTTCTCAGAAATGGCTGGGTATTTTGGCTGAAACGTTCCAGTAATATAGAGCTGGGGGCAGGCAATGGGTGTAGAAAAGCTTAGTACAAATGATTCAAGTTTGGTAAAGAGAATCTTATTACAGAAATTGTCATGCAACCTTAATAACTGGTATTGCTGCAAGTCCCACCTATAATGCTACATATACTGCAGTATTCTGAATGCTAATTAATCTCATGTGTGGAATAATGCTCTGGAGATTTACAAGTGGTTATTTATGAGAAACAATGTGCTAATGCTTGCAAATGTAAAACGGTGGAGAGCTGAACAAATGGAACAGTGACTTATTTAATTTAGCAAGAGTGGAGAATCAGTTGGTGCCTGGAGACCGTGGTGACTAGTCTGAATACTTTCGGCCCTGATCCTTCAGTGAGCTCCATGAAGTATAAGTCAGTCTGTGCAGAGCTTCTTGTGGGATAAGGGCTTGAGGTGAGTCTCTTCATGAACCCAGTCAGGTGAATGTGTACTGCATATTGTCTCTCCATTTTAGCAGCCTTTGCAAGCCTCTGATGGAACAGAATGTGAGAAGGATGCTCTTAGCTCCAGCTACGATCCAATCATGGCAAAGATGAAGGAGACGGACAAACAGCTTGCATGTATAAGCAGGGAGAATGAAATTCTCAAGATCAAGGTGCATTCCTTTTTGCAGTCTTTAAATGTATATCTTAGCTGTCCTCAGCCCTGAGTTAGCCGGACTCGTGCTGTAGGAAGAAAACTAGCTGTTCATTACGCCTTTGTAATCTGTAAGGCAATAATTCTTCAGAGTCGCAGCAGGGTTTCCCACTAATCCAAAATCTGTTTCACTTTAGCCGACAGTGAATTTCACCGTAAAGCCAGCGCAGCTTCTTGGGTTTTTTCCAGGTTGTAACACCTGAAGTCCACCCAGTTCATAGTCCATAGCCGATGTACTCAAAACCAATTAGAAGCTTATCTGCCCTTTTAACTCCTCGGCTTAAATTGAAAGCAGGCAGGGCTATTCTGTCAGTGAGTATTTAGCAAGTTTGTGTCCTTTTCTTCAGAATGTAAAGTATTAGTTGGGCATTTTTATAAATTTATATTTTTTTCCCCATGAGATTTGGGGAAACCTGTCTTGCATGCTATTGGTCACACACTTTAACAGCAGCATCCATATTATGCTTATGTCATGACTACATCACGCTCTTAAACCATGGCTTAACATTATTAATCCTGTGCATTGCCCTTTTCCAGCTGGAAGCTACGAGAGAGGCCGGTGCAGAATCTCTCAGACATGCCTCACGGAGGCTCTATGAGAATTACCAGAGACGGTCCGAAGAATTGAAAAAAGGGTGTGAAGAAGATAAACGCCTAATGCAGGTACACCTCTATATAAGTCCTTTATATAGCATTGGTAAAATACAGAGCAAAATGTATGAGATGCCTAGGAGAAGACGCATTTCTTCTGGTCAATAGGCCAGAAACTCCATTGAGTGGATTTCTTATATTGGCACCTTGGTTCTAATTAGGGCCCTAGTTTTTCAAATGTGCCTTGAGATTTAGGCTACCTTACTTTTGGTGGATTTAATTTCATGTGGATAAAAGAAACTGATTTTTCAGAAGGTGGATGCTCAGTACTTCCTGTAGAGCAGGTCTCAGATGTCTCCAGTGGCCAGTTCAGAAGCACCCAAAATCATCATTTATTCCTGAAAATGTTGGCTGCGACTGCTTAAGTAGATACTGGCATTGTTGCTTTGCACTGAACTCTTTCCATAAAGGTTTGCCATTCTCTCCCTCATATTGCGAGGGGAAAAAAAACATAGAGTCTTACTACAAGGGTTAGGGCTTCCACAGAGTGATATATCCAAGTGCAGCAAATCGGCGCATACTAGAAAATGGCAACACAGCGGTTTAGTAAAAAATGTAAATTGCGTACTTCATTGACTCACAGGCCAGCAACACTGACAGAGAACAAAAACTCAAACAAAATGCAGAGAATGTCAGTTGCCTTACTGAAAGACTTGAAGAAAAATACAGCCGGATTGCAGAAACGGAGAGACTAGTGCAAAGGATGGAAGAGGTATGTTCAGAGAACTTAGTTTGTAGTCCCTAGTCATGCAGTCAACAGAAGCCTTCCTTATGTCTGTGAAGACTGTGTATCTTTGATTTAGTATCTCTTGAATGATAAAACTCTGAGATTTCACAGTCAAGAATCTGCATAGTCTTTACTCACCTACATGTTGTCATCGGATTGGGACTAGTCTTGTGAATAAAGATTTAGGGATCAGGCTCTTCAGAAATATATGATTTCAGTGCTTTAGCTCCTATCACTATTAACAGAAATAGATGAAGCATTTTTCATTGGAAGTTTAACATTTGTTTAATGCCATTGAATGGTGTTTAATGCCATTGAATGGTATTTAATGCTAAACTTCCATTATCCACTGGAGCTTTAATGCCATTGGAAGCTTAGTGTTTGATGTGACTGACCAATAGCTCTTGCTTATGAGGAAGAATTAAATTTTAAAATAATTCAGACATATCCTCAGGTGGAGTAAGTGTCCTTCTACTTTCACTTGGGCTTATCTGTGTCAACCATCTGAGGATTGAGGCCCTTTAAATGTAATTATAAATAACATTGTGGCCATGCTTGCCCTTTCTTTCCATCTCTCCCTTTCAAATATTTAAAAACAATTAATGGCCATAATTACATCTAACACAAGCCTTGACATTTCCTGGTTTTTATTGGAATGATCTATTCTTCCGTGCTTATTCTTGCATTGCCACATTTACTAGAAATGGTGCAGTTAATCTGTTCTCTTATTGGGAATTTCTTTTGAAAGTTCTCAGCTGATTCAGAAGCACTGAGCATTACAGCAAACAACCCTCCTGTTGTAAATAGCCATTAACAGTGAAAGCTAAAATGAACGTATTGTTTTAAAATTAAACTTTCACCATATGTTCACGGGCAATTATGAAAGAAACATGATCTCATTTCATTAATACAATACCAGTAAAGAAAAGTCAAATTAAAAGCATTTAAATGCAAAAAACAGAATGTACTTTCCAGGGCATTTGTATCATTTGTACTGCTTAACTATATTATACTCTTGCTATAATTAAGGTACTGGAGACGTAAAGTAGGGGTGTGTGAATAACTGCATTTTCTGTTTAAATAAAAAGCTTAAATATTAATTGGAGCAGGGGCTCGAAGATGGGGGCATCCCAATGATCAGGTAGTAGTCATCTGTCTCTGGTCCAATTAATATTTAAGTACATTATATACAGTTGAACAGCTTCCATATGAAAGTGAGAGAACCACCATATAGTGAGAGCATACCCTATGGCTCTGTGGTTGAGCCACTCTCCTGGGAGAGATTAGGTTTAACAGCCTCCTCTGAATTAAGTGGAGAGGAGGTTTGAACGTGGGTTTGCCACATCATACATGAATACCTTAACCCTTGGCTTCCACAGCATCGGACCAGCCCTTCTCCATTTTTTGAATGGTGCTCAAGTCCCCTAGTGAATTTAGCCTGAAAAACTGAAATGTAAGGTTTCATTTTGATATTTTAGGGTTTGTTTGTTTTTTAATTTGTCAAAACTATTCTGAATTTGACCCAAACTCACCAGTAGTTTTGATTGACCTAAACCTACTTTGGAAATAGTGGGAGGGATGACAGAGGCCTCTGCAGCTTTTGAAGTTCTCCCAGAAGTTTTGAATGACTCACCTGGAAGTAAATGATTTGGGACATTTTCTGCAGTGGCTCCTGCTGTACTTTTGAACAGGTGACCCCACAATCATTTGCCAAATCAACTCCTGCCAATAGGCAAGTGAGGGGACTGAGGGCCTCCACCTTAGACTTCAGTTGGGCTGGAAAGGATGAAGTTATCTCTGCCATTGATGCTCCAGCCTTCTGTTTCTATTAGGGGTTAAAAGGCACAGGAATTGTGGTAGGCTCATGCCTCTGCATCCAAGGGGGTGGACTGCTTGTTTCCCCACTACCTTTGTGTAGTGGGGAAACTACCACATGCAATTAATATTTTTAATTATTGATAAATTATACTTAATTGCATGCAGAACTCTTCAGTTATTTCAATGCACTTTTTGAATGTCTTCTCCAAGTTGACTATGTTTCCAAAAAAGCACTTCTATACGGTGTTCCCAAATCCCACCATCCTGTCACATCAATAGGGTAACATGGAGGGTAGTTGCAAGGAGAATTCAGCATACAAATTTTTGTTGTCTATGGCTGAGATTTTTAGACACACCTCCTATTTCCAATTATCCAACCTAATAGCAGCACCGTTTTAGGCAGCGTCATAACACTCCATTAATATACCACGCTGTGGAACTTGCCAAAGAAAGAGAAACATAAAAAAAGGCTTCAGTTTCTTAGCATCATGCAACTAGGATCATCTACAGCCAGCCCCGAATCCTGTCTAACTTATAGCTTGTTCCTAAGAGACTAGTGAAATCTCCAGGAGCAAAACTCTTGCCTTCACTAGGACTGAGGTTTCACATTTACAGACTAAGATGATACATTGTGGAGTGGCTTTATCAGTTAATAGCTTCCTTAATTTTCCTAGCAACAGATTGTATCTGGATCACTGAATATTTGGAAGTGGACTACTAAGGTTTGTCATTTATTGATATGAAAATTTCCAAATGAATCTATTTTAACCTTTGATTTCTGATCCATATTTGCTTACAAAGTACTACTGTCCCTTTAAGTCTGTACATAAATTGATAGGGTTAGAAGGCATCTCAAGGATCATGTAGTTCAAGTTCTTGCTTAGGTGCAGGATTTGCTGTTGCAACCTTTCCAGTCAAATGCTTATCCAGACTTCTCTTGAAAATTTGCAACAAAGTAGATGACATCTACAGCAGAAAGGATCTTTGAACACACAGCAGTGTGTCAGCCAATATACTGACAGCTTAAAAGAATACATTATCCTCCGCTGATCAGAGGAGGGAAACTAAATCATTTCCTTGTAAATACCTGGATATTGGGATGTAGTAGCTGGATACATGTCCATGTGGAAAGTATATCTTCAAATGTAAGAAATTCGAAAAACAACTAAAAATGTAAGTTGCAGAGATGGGTTGATCAGTTAGTTGCACCACTGGGATTTGCTTCTCATGCTGGAAACAAATTAGGAGATGCAGATAAGTGCAAGTTCCTGTTACACTAGGGAATTTTCTCCAAAAATCAAACTTAAAACCAGATTCTTCTACCACTATTCAGTTGATACTAGTCAGCTGAACTCAGTTCATTTGAACACAATTGGCATTATTTCATTTCAGTGTGATTCCTCAAGTAGAACTGCTTAGGCTGAACAATGCTGGTGATCTGTCACTGTATTGACGAGTTAGTTGAAGCCAATACAAAATCATGGAAGATAAGTTCAAGACTGCAAAATCCTTTTATTTTTCTGATGAACAGCTTTCGAAAAGCCAGCGTTTTCCAGTAGGTCCAATGCAGCGTTGACTGGAGTAGCACAATTTTTCTCCTTGGAACAAGAAATACTTGTGGTAGTTGTGTGTTATCTGATGATAAATCTGCATGTTTTAATGGCAACTGACTGTGTTCACACCCATAGAATTGAAACTTCCCTTACTCTTTAAAAATTAATGCCTCTAGTCTTTTAAATTTAAATATGTTTTGTCCATGCGAATCAATACAGAGCTGTTGCCCTGGTAACCCTGCCTTTTCTACAACCATTCAGTATGACCACTACAGCTGCTTTTTTCAAGAGCAATGACTAGTACTAAGGTAGGCTTGTTGCTAGATGGTTACTGCTGACTCATCTCTGGTCATTTTGCCTATTTCAAGATAGATTAAAAATAATCAGAAACATAAATAATCAGTTCACATCAGGTGCATGTGGGTATGTGGACTTTTTTGTTTCCTAGGAAAAGAAAATTTTGCTAGAAAAGAAACGGTCATTTGAAGAGATGCTCCTGCACATGATATCAAACCATGAAGATGCTAAACGGTAAATAATAGCATGCGACTAAGTGCTTTCAGTATGTTTAGCTGCCTCATATTGGAAGCATACATGGGCTTAGATTGATTGCTTTTACTTTCTATACTTTTAAAAGAATAATAAAGTTTTCCTGTGGTGCATCCAATAGGGTTTCTAGACATTTATTTATTTAGAAAATAAGTAACCATACTCTGCCATTTGAACACATGGAGGAATTCAACTAGGTTTTGTTGTCCCTTCTCTGAGAAACCTCTTGTTTTAATTAGCAGGACTTGCGTATATAGATTGACTGAGCGTAGTAGGTTTGGTTTATAGCTATCTATTTTCATATACCCATCTCAACCCCATGCTGTTTATCAGAACCAATATCCCAAAGGCCAGGCACTATTTTTATTCTGTCTTGGATATAATTAATTTTCCTTATTTTGATCCCTGCTTGAGATTAAGCAATATGAAAAGGCAGTGTAGTCAGGGCACCGGTCATGGGGTAGGTAGACCTGCCTCTGTTACTGGCCTGGAAGGTCACTTCGCTTCATGTTTCTGAACATTGGCCGCATCCCACTCCTGTCTTGCCTTTAGGTGGGATCATTGTATATTGAGTGTCAGTGCCCTAATGTGGGGTACACATGTAGGATGCATATTTTGGGTGCTGCCTAATGGTATGGGCGCTTTGCTGTCCTGTTCTCCGCTGATCTTGCACTTCCCAGCTGCGCATACAGCACAAGGTATCCTGGGAATCATAATTTTATAGAGTGGCCATGTAGTTCATGGATGAGGGTGAGGTGGGGAGAGTTGACCCCATTGTTTTGCTGCTGAATTAACATTTCTTTTGCTTTCTTGACATGGGCTTCGGCAGCAAATAAAATGGGGTGAAACTCTCCTCTCCCCAGCAGTGAACTCCACTGCCACTCCAGAGACCTACAATTCTCATAACACCTTGCACTCCATGACCCAGATTGCCCACAATCTGCTGCTACTGCTGCGGCTGCTACTGCTGAGTGTTACCTAGTGCAGGAAGGGTGAAGGGTGTCCTCTGCTGTGTGTTTTATGCTGTATATTTGCACATTATTTGCATCAGGGAGTTTTTCTCTTTGCTGGACCTTTAGTTTCTACTATAATGCAAATATGCTGATGATGAACAAAGGTGGTGGCTTCGGGGGTCTGTAGATTGTATAACCACTTCCGCTCTACACTCACAAGTGCAAATAATTCCACAATTTGTAGGTCTACATATCACTTCTACTGTTTTTTTAACTGCTGTTTTCTGTGTTAGTCAAAATATTTTATGAGTAGTGGATGTGCTTGCTCCCATTTGTTGAAATTCTGCTAAGAGGTAAAATTTCACCATCAATTCTGTTGTCTCCTGTCACTAATCTATATGTGCCAATACAGTTACCATGGAAATATATTGTTCAGTAGCTAAAGTGGTATGCAGTACCCTATGGTACGGCTTTAAAACATTCCTAGTGTAAAAGTGAAAGCTTGTGAGACCTTGCCATGTCCTCTCACCTACTGTGTCCTCTGTATGGAATGGTTGCCCCCCTCCAAAATGAATAACAGTGCTACTATAGATGCTATAAGGAATAAACCCCACATTTTCTTTCATTTATGTTGTATAATGTTTACAGTTTTCTTTCTTTTATGTTGTATAATGCTTAGTGAATTTAACTACAGCTGTTATGGCAAGAGGTTGATACCACAAGGTGGAATCCTATGTGCACTGGAAATCACTAGCTCTGATCAATAAAAAATTCTTTTTTACATATACTTGGATTTGAACTATAATTACAACTGACCAACCGCAAGAGCTAGGAGCCCAAATAGCTGTTTTCTATAACAATGCTGCATTAAGCAGGTGTTGGATCTTTCCCTCTGATTTTATCTTCTTCCCCTTCTACCTCTCCAGGTGTGTGGATCTTCAAGAGGAGCTTTTCAGTCTGCAACAGCAGATCCGTCATTTGCAGAATTTGATCATGTTCCAGAATCAAGGCCTACGCAGTGTGATACAGGAGGTTGGATTAATCAAGTTGGTTTCATGATGTTATAGTTGTTGAGGGAGCAGGTGGGAATAGGAAAATAGGTCCAATCCTTCAATACCCCAGTAAGAAATACTTCATCCTGAACCAGTTGAGGTGCATTGGTAATATTCCTGAATGGGATATGTGCTCAACATGGCTGTTCCCTTGGGCAATGTTCACTGGCATTTTCTGGCATACTGTCTAGTTGTCTACTGCTGTAGGGGTGGCCTTGAGTACAAAGACAGCCCCAAGCATATGTGTTCTACCTGGTGTTTTGTGTGGATCATTGTGTCTAAAACACTTCGCTGCTGTAGCTATAGACACTGTGTAAGCCAGTCAATAAAATGAAAAGGTATGTGGGACTCTACAAAACATTTCTCACTGAAGCCCATATAACATTTGCATTGCTCTCACAGGCAGTGCCGTTAAAGTCAACAAGATGGCTTGCGTGAGAAAGTAGGAGAGATTTGGTTCCAAATAAGACTGACAAAATGTGAACCTGCTTAATATCTATTATTTTTTATAACATCTCTTTTTAAAGAATTATTTTCAGTAAGGATATACATTTTTGTTTAGCATTTACCTGTGAAAAAATAGTAGGGTTGAAGTGTTGTTGTGGTTATGATGATCCAGGAAACGTATAAGAGGCAGCAGTCTTTAGGTAGTACTTTTTTATAGGACTAACTGTATAGTTGAGAGAGAAATTTGACAAGCTTTCCGGCACACACTGCACTTCTTCAGCCAGTGTGTGCTTTAAAAAACTTATTGAATTTCTCTCCCAGGTAATCAGTGGGTCCAGGAAAAGATATCACCAAAATATCCTTCCCCTATACAAAAATGTAATCCTGTTCTGTAAGCTAACATAGGATAGGAAATTCTCCTCGAGTCTTACATGACTAAGGCTAAAAAACACTGTGGAAAATCATTCCATTTTTGCCAAGTCTGTCAAGAACTTTTTTAAAATTAAAAGGTGGATTTGAAGGGCGACTTTATCTGATTAAAAACCAATGGCCGGTCAGTCATTTCACCACTTCTCTAGAGCAGAGTAAGCAACCGTTTCTGGTTGCAGGCCACATCAACCCACCCTGGGACAGATGGGCAAGTGCTAGGGTCTGGCCACTGCTGCCTATAGTCTCTAGCAGCATGGGGAGAGCCCCCACAGCCAGAGCCCCCCACCACCAAATGCTGCTGAAGCCCCATGTCCACAGATCAGTTGCAATGGCTCTGCAGGCTGGATCCAGCCCACAGGTCATAGGAGATAGGCTGCCAGCCCCTGCTCTAGAGTATTTCCTGTATCAGGTGGAGTTCAAATTCCATTTATTCTCATACTATAAGAAGGTTTCATGCTATTGCACATGCAATTAATAAAAAGGTTTCGAAACCATTTAAAAATCGTTGCTAACTCTTTTTTTTTAACTTGTAGATTGAAGAATTGAACAGAGAACTAAAAATCCAAGATAAAACAATAGAGGATCTGAAAGAAAAGATAAATATGCTTGAAGCTCAGGTAAAGCAAGAAAGAACAATATGTTTTACTAAACTCTACAGTAGTGAGCCCAAAATGAGGTGTGTTTAAAAACCTTTGTGTTCCTCAATCTCTTCCTTCTTCCAAAATGAACAGTAAGAGATTGATGCTATGATTTCCAACTAAAGGTATGGCCTGGTATTTTTTGTTCTGTTTTCTGGGGATGAATATGTAGGAGTGCTTTCTACAAAGCAAATTGGATTTACGTAAGCATTCAGCAGTGGCCTAACTTTTCTTCCATTGAAGACCACGATAAACATCTTACTGGATTCAGTTGTAATAGAGGATGAGGCCAAATCCAGTAAGTGGGACTTAGGCACAATTCAGAAATGGGGACCTGAGCCAGGATTCCCTTCTCTCCGGTGAGTCTTGTAACTGCTGAGTCAGAGGCCTGCTGCTGCTTGGCTCTTTGGGTCAGTTCTTTATTGCACAGAGGCATCCCTTCAGCAAAAAGATCACCATTCAGATTAGCTTAGCATCGGGTCATTAGGACAGTCTATAGGTCAGGGGAGATGCAGGCTACCATGCCCTCAGTTGGTAACAGCTGAACCCGAGACTTCCTCTTCCAAGGTGTTTGTTGTAATCACTACAAGAGGGGTGTTGCTGCTGCTCCTCCTGATTTTTAAGAGTTCATTTTGCTAATCTTTTTTGACAGAAAGGACTATCAGTGCCTCCCCTTGCAAGAGGATTCCAGGTTTCCTCCCACAGCCCTGAGGGAAGGGATTCAAGGCTCACTCTGTTTCCTGTTGCCTGTCTCTAGGCAACTGCATCCTCAGTAGTAGACAGTCCTCAGACTGTACAGTTTGTCACTCAGCATGCCAGCTGCACCGGGTCCCATTTGGAGGCACCCTCTACAGACAAGCTTGGTGCCCAACGCAGCGTTCTGGATCGCACTCCCCCTGCGTGTCTCCACAACTAGTCTATTATTAAATCCACAGGGCTGGGATGTGAACAAGCACATTTCAGAATAATGGGACAGGTCTGCTTTTACACACCATGGGGGTTTGCTTCGGTTTAATTCTCCCTAAATCGAAGCGGTGGGTTTTTAAAAACACCACTTCAATTTAGGGAGAATTAAACCGAAGTAAACCCCTGTGGTGTGTATGCAAGGGTCGGACCCGATCCTTACCTGCCTCTCCAGCGGTGGGGAGAGGAGGGCTAGTGGCTGATGGGCCGAGCAGTCCCTGAGCTGCAGGGGACTGGTGCTTCCCTCCATGGTGGTGGCAGTGGCACCTGCCCGCAGGCACCTGGCACAGGCGGTCCCGGGGGGGCACTGTAGCCATGGAGGGAAGCACCAGTCGTGGTCCCCCCCCCCCCCCCCCCCAGCTGTGGAGGGAAGCACTGGGCCCCCGCACAGCTCAGGCAGTCTCCGTGGAGGAAAAAAAGAAAAAAATCAGGTTCGCCACTTCGTTTTTTTTCTTCAGTGGAGCCTGCTTGCAAAGTCTGCCTGAATAGCCCCTGAGCTGCATGGGGCCTGGTGCTTCCTTCTGCAGCTGTTGCACTTTGTTAAGTAGCAAAATAAAACACCTTAAAGGTGTTTTATTTTGCTGCATCCCAGAGTCATTGAACGTGCAACACACTGCCAACAGTGTAAACAGCCACGCCATTAAAACACAATATGCCACTGACAGTGTAAACAGTTGCTCTATTAAAGTGGTGCAAGAGGGAATTTAAGCCACTTCAAAGGCCAATTTTATCGTGTGTATGAAGGCCCCTAGTTTCTATTTAACAACTAATTATTTACATTGGCATAGGGCTAGAGTGTGGTTGTTGCCAGGATGGTCCAGAAAATGCATGAGAGAGTAGGATTTCTAATGATATCTTCTATTGGACCAATTGTACAGTTTGGAGAACAAGCTTTTTCTGGCCTCAAGTTCCCTTCCTCAGGTCTAAGAAAAAGGCAGACACAGACTGAGCTAAATATTGGAGGAAAGCCTGCATGGAAATGCAGACAGTCGGCTTGTAGAGCTAGAGAATGGCTGTGAGCTAGGAGTGAAGAGGTGTTACAAGGAGTGGTTAGGAGACAAAACTGCGGTAGAATAGGTAATCTAGTTTAATGACAGAGCAAGACCATTCAAGAATACCTTAGGGGTTGCACCCGCTGGGTGTGTCTACACGTTCATTAATGTGCCTTTGCTACCACAATTACGTTTAGTACCTCTAATATGAGGTAGTAGATAAAGATGCAATAGCTGCACTAATGTGCAGTAGCAAAGGTGACCTTTTGGAAGTACTCAAGCATGGTGCAGTGACCACTTGTATTGCACTGTACATGTGGCTCACGGTTATTTTTAGCAACTACTTTGCTGTAGCGGTGCACTATAATGGGAGATCAGTCACTACGATGAAGTAGCTGCTGGTCATGTGTAGACACCTTTGGATGTTACATCGCCATAGTGCATTGCTATGGTGATGTAGCGTCACTTATGGATGCAACCATTGTCTGGATGTGTGTGTCTGGTAAAAAGCAGACCCTGTAACAGTTTGATTCAGAGATCCAGTGGTGTTTAGGGAAGTTTTAGCTCAGATGTCTCATGCTTGTATTGTCCTACTCTGACTTTCCAGGCATGCTGTTTCCCACAAGATGCAGTGAGGGCATATGGTGGCTCATCATAAAAGATGCAGCTTGGTTAGGAAGTCTGGCCTACAGTGGAGACTTGCGGACATGAGGAAACTCAGCTACACCTTTCATTAGGCATTGCATTGGGCTATATCTTCATTCCCCTCCTCCTTCCTCCCTCTTCCCCCTGCCCCCTCAAAAAAAAAAAAAGAAAAAACCCCTGAAGAAAAATTTTTGTAGAAAACTTTTGACTAACCCTAACAAAAAATACTGCTGAACTTCAAAAACAGCTGTGAGGGATTCTCTTAGTAACAGAGTTAAGTCTAAGTGGCTATACCTACATGTGTGCTTTAATGCACAATAGCTTAGTCTACTGCATGTTAAAGCGGTGCATAAAAAACTGCTAATATGCTAATGCACAGTATAATAGGCTACTGCACATTAAGCATCACCTAAAAAGCATGCACTTGCACTACTGCACATTAGCACAGCCTAATGCACATTTATTAAGAACCTCATATTGGAGGTACTATATTTAATGTCCATTAGGAAAAGTGCATTAACGTGCATGTAGATGCACCCAGTATGTGGCAGTATCCAATTTGGTAAGTATTACTGGGAACTTGAAGTTCCATGAGCTTTTGAGAATTACCTAGCATGGCAAGATTTCCAAAAGTGACTGCACTGTCTCTCTTTCTCCATGTTGTTTTAAATCAAACAAACAAATATTATGTGTAAGCCCAAGTTCTCAAGTGGTGCAGACTGGAGTAATTATCAAAAACCATACACAAATTTGGCTTCAGTTAGTTATACTGAAGCTCTGGCCCACAGACTATATATTTAATTTGTTTAAATGTTGCAGTCTGTAGAGAGGGAAATAAAACTAATTTTGTTTCAATTTCAGAATAAATTACTTAAATACAAAGTGGAAGTGTCATCTGTCCAGTCAACAATGAAGGTTTCAAAAGCTGTCTCAACAGAGTAAGTTGCTTTGAAGATATCAATGACTGGCTAGGTTGCAGTAGCACAGAGAAGGACCTGGGGGTTATGGAGGACCATAAACTGAGTATAAGTCAACAGTCTGTTCTTGTTGCAAAAAAGGCCAACAGCATCTCAGGTTGTATTAGTAGGAGTGTTACTTGCAAATCAAGGGAAATGACTCTTCTGCTCAATTCAGCACTGGTAAGCCCTCACTGGGAGTACTGTTTCTAGTTTTGAGCTCCATACTTCAAGAAGCATGTGGACACTTTGAAAAGAATCCAGCACAGAGTGACAAAAATTATCAGGGGCCTAGTAGATGAGATTTATGAAGAAAGACCGAAAGAACTAGGGTTGTTTAGTCTAGAGAAGAAAAGACTGAAGGGGATTTGATAAGTCTTCAAATACCAGAAGGGTATTATACAGAGGATGGAGATGGGATATTCTCTGTGGCTGTAAGGGGGCAGGACTGGGAACAACAGCCTCAAGCTGCAGCAGAGGAAATTTAAGTTGGAGATGAGAAGCAACTTTCTGACTATAAGGGTGGGTGGTCAAGCGTTGGAACAGGCCACCTAGAAGAATCTGTGGAATATGCATTCTTGGAAGTTTTGAAGAGCAAGTTGGACCGACATTTGGTTGGGATAGTTTAGTAAGGGATGAGTGGGCTAGATTAGATGGCCTCATGATGTCCCCTCTAGCCTACTTTCCTATGAGATGTCTGAAATCTTTCTTTCTACTCTCTCTTCAAACATCAAAATATGAATAATTAATGCAATTAGGGATGGGTCCTGGCATAGCTGATCCATTTCATTAGACAAAATAGATGCTGCCCATTGTCCTGCGGCGTCAGGCCACTGCCACTCCCAGGGCTTCAGTGGAACAACAGTTGGGGCATACCACTGCAAATGTGGGAGCTTGGGTGTGCAGGATCAGGCTCCAGGGGCACCTGCCTGGGGTGGCTGGAGAGCATAGGCAGCTCCAGGCTGCATGCACTTTCCTGCCTTAAAACAAGCAGATGTTTGCCAGAAAATAAAGGCACAAATTCATACTACTTCTTTGTCACAGACACAAATGTGAGCATTTGTGGCATGACAAAGGGAATGGACATCTGTTTACTTTAATTTTGTGCCACCATAAAAAATGTTATGACCACACAAAAACGACATCTGTTTCCAGACTTGCTGGCTCAAATGCTTACAATCATCTTTGTCTTTATCTTGCAGCTCAACCAGGATCGCTGGGTTGTCACCCTACATGATGGTAGCTAGTCTACAGAAGCAAAATGGCTAGATGACAAACTGTTGTCCTCTTTTATCTTAGTCATAGGGACCTTTCTTTGTGTGTCTCAGAATCAGATTGAACAGAGTTGACATTATCATCTAAGGCCCCTTGTTATAAACATGGCATCATGAACACTCAAAATGCTTGCAATGGTGCTTATGCAGAAGTGGCCCTATAGTTGCATTAAAATGAATATGCACATCTGGAAGTATGGCAAGACCTAAAGAAACAATATAGATGATGTTTAGCCACAAGACAGGAACAGCCAGAGGCCATTCTTGAGGGGGGAAATGCATTATCTTCCCCACTTTTTACTATAAAAGACCGACTTTTTAACAAACGTGCTGTGAATCATCTTGACATCCTTTAGAAGTATATTGAGAGGATATCAAAGTAAAACATTCATAACTGCATACAGAGACTATTCTGTTTACCATATTTTAGTATAATTTTCTAGTGTAACTTTGGCCAGTAGATTTTAAAAATTCATACTGCAAATTTGATAATGTAAAGGTATATTTAATAAACTATATATTTGTCCAATTTTCTAATCGTGGTATTGTAATCTAAATTTTAGATGCGACAAGCTCTTTAATAACTTCAGCAATGAAAATGTTACAGTAGGATTTTTATTTCTCTAGGAGACAGTGGTTTTGGGGCAGTCATTTGTTAGCTTTGTCTAACAGTTTCAAGGCCAGCATCATGATCTGTGCATGTTTATTTCGGCACTGGAAGACAAGAAGACATGTCTGCTTGTGACTCTAATCCATTTTAGACCAAGCAAAGCCCTACCCTCTATCATACTGGCCAGTTCTTTTCAAAAAGTACGCTATGATACTGATTGCAGTACCTCTGTGTAGCTACAATGAAATATGAAGAAGATAATTTATACTACCTAATATTAGTACAGTTGGCCCTTTAGGGGATTAGCTTAATTGCTTATATGATTTGCCAGGATTTGTGGTAAAATTTACAGAGAGACTTAGGCGGTTGTAAGTGTTCACATGCCTGCAAGTTAGGTACCAGCTCTGGAAGAGGAACTTATAAACACAAGTCAAGGCACATAATTTTCTGTTTTCTAAATGGAGAGAGCTGAGTATGTAGAATTGGGGTATAAAATTTATGCAGAGTCAGGTTGTCAGCATGAATTTTAGACCCTAATCCTATACACCCAACTCTCTCTGCATCATTAGGAAGAGACTTCAGATCTGAAAGACCTGACTCATGGACCTAGAACTATATACCAAAATTGGATCAAGTCCACAATGCTGTACAGCTCAATGAAAACGAATCCCCTTTTAGGTAGTATACTCCATACCCCAGTTCACTGCATACAGGATGGCAATATGCATGCCATGGATAGCCTGATGCAATTCAGAAACCCCATATTGGGAAATCTGGCAATGACCTCTCAGGAACTGGAGAGCCTGAGGAACACTGGTAGTCTGGGAATTGTGCCACTGAGGGCATGCTTGACCGTAACATAGCCATGGATTTCTCCATGCTCAACAAGTCACCGACCTGAGGCTACCAGGTATTGCTAATTTCCAAATAGCTATTGCCAACTGTTCATGAAAATGCTGGTGTTGGCAAACTGCCTCTAGAGCAATGATGGTCAGCTTGACATAGATCTTCTTGCTACCGCTGCTTGTCATTCTAAGTCCGTGGCACTATCTACTCCCATCAGTTTATGCTTACCTCTCTGATCCAGAAGGGCAGCAATGCTCTACGAATGATCCCAGAGAAAGCCATCCTCTCTGGAAACATCTCTCTTTTTCCTCTGGCATGTTGTTCTCAAACTTGTACAAGATTGAGTACAGCTTTAGGAAGCACCAGTTCAGTACTGGGGTAATCCAGCCCCAAGATGTCTTTCTGTGGCCCAGTAGGTAGCAGGGTTTTTAAACAGGAGAGAAAGCATGGCTAGGTAGATCACAAACTTTTTTTTTTTTTATTAAGCCCTCTAAATTTGAACTCAGTAAAAACATATGTTATGAAAACAGCACACAAGGTTGTATATCCTACAGCACACAAAGTTGTCTATCCCCAAGTAAGTTCTGTTCTCATACTGCCCTCTGTAGACTACTCCAGCCAAGTGAAGGGGAAGAACATACTAATGCCATTACTCAGAACTGGTTTGTAAACAGCAGTTTAATGGGAGATGCATTAATTTAAAAGAAAAGTGCAAATATCAGATAATCATGTTAAAACGCATACAATTTCAAGCCAGTCTGTCTCCTGTGCAACTCAAGATGCAACATTCACGTGCTTTCTCATTTTAGGATTAGCCATTGAAAGATATAAATAAAACTTAGGATCTACCTAGCATGCAACTACCTGTTCACATTGCTATGCATGGTTAGGTATATTTTAAAGGGCAGGGATAGACTATGGCACTATTATATTTGTACTATATAATTATGATACCTTTTTCAAAAGAAGTGTTTTAAGTTTTAAATTGCTAGCTGTATTACAACTTCTGCCAACTTAAGTCACCAGTTAAAGAGCTGTTAAAACCAAATCTGACAACCCCAGAAAAAAAATCCTGCTTCAAAAGTGATAGATTTTTAGCAGTTCAGAAAGGATGGTTTTCTAACATAAAGGTAATATGCATGGGACCCTACTTTACTACGTATTCATTAGCAGAGACAAATTCTGAACTACTTTCCTTCCTATTGAAATGCTTCACAATTGGCACCTTGTACATTCCTTACTAAGCTGTTCCTTCATTGTAAAAGGAGATTTTTGGCAGAAAATTCAACTGCCTTCAGAAGGCAGTTTTTGGCAATCTGATCAGCCCTCTGTAGCATAGAAATGGTGTACTATTGTTAGTAGACAAGCCTTCAAGATCACAATGCTGTTTCAAAATGGGGCATGTTGTACAGTACTAAATCAATTTTCAGTGACCCATCAACCTAACAGTTTAGACTAACCGTTCCATCTGGCATAAGCATTAGAGCCAAAATCAGGACTTGCTATATTGAATGAGTCCAGCATGTGTAGAGATCTACTCATCCTGTCCCCCCAACCCCCATCTGCACATAACAACGATTCTCCACTTGGTCATCCTACACAAGGAACTGCTCTATTGCAAACACTCGTCATACCATCCTTCTATTTGCAGAGCAACTTTTGTTGCCCTCTCTGCAAACACACACAGCTAACACAACTGATTAAAAATGTATTTTTATTTTGAAAAGAAAAAAGTGCAGAAACTGAATCACAGGATTACATTCCTTGACCATATGATACAAACCCAGACACCAGTGAATCATTCAACAATATATTTTGAAGCCACAGGTACTTGGTACAACAAAATAATGACATTAATATTGTTATGCAGGCACCACAGTATATCAAGGGGCATATATAATAAAAATGCTATGTTCAAGAGTTTAAATCACATTCATATCACTAGGCATAACACTTACAGATCTGTTGAGAAGACAAAACAAAAACCATGCTGAAGAGTGAAACATTTAAAAAGGTAATTCATACAGTAAACATTTAGTGTTTGCTTAAAAGATGGATATCTTAAAACTGAAGCGGTACAATTTAACTTCCATAAATAAGTCCAGTAAGATATAGGCATCTCTTAATATACAGTATGTACATTAAGCCCTATTGCACAATGATGATTGACAACTTTAGGGTATAATTTTTAGTTAGATCACTATGAAATAAAAGCACAGAATAAATTACCATGGGTATTCTCTTGAAATAGGTAAGAAATGAGATGGGGAAAAAATATCTAAAAAACAGATCTGTTTCACCCCCAAGGAGGATAACTCCAAGTTGACAACTTAGCTTCCTGTCCCAAGTTGTCTTAAATTGGAATAGTGGAGGCATGGTGTGAACAAGGGGTACACGCTTAACAGGAAAGTAGCTATGAAGATTCCTGTTGCCAATAACCCTGGTCTTTGGATGAGATTTCACTTCATTCACATGACGTCTTTGGAGTTACAGTGTTTTTTTAAAAAATAGAAATAGAATTTTGAAAAAAAATTAGAACAAGGTCTGGACTGTCTATAGTGTTTTGTGACCGTAACAAAGTAATGGTCACCCATCTTTAACTTTCCAATTGTCAGGGTTCTTCGAGTGTGGTACCACTGGAGGTAAGAGATTCCTCTGGGAAAAATAGTATTTTGTATTACTTATGAAATGTTGCATAAGGCTGTAAATAGACATCTCATCTAAGCTGGTTGTGATTGTCCCAGGTTTGAATCAAAACAGGAGGGGCACAGCCCTTTACACATGTAGCCCTTCTAAGCTGCCTTGCTGTTCCTCTGCCAGTAGGTAACTAGGGAGAGCGCACAGCCTGATAGGGTTGTCCCTGGAAGAAACCGCAGTTAACATGGATGTGCAGTTATGCCCCAGGAAAAAACACTGTTAGTACATTTTTTTTTGTCATACTTCGTAGGTAATCTAAGTAGGACAATGAGGACGAACACCTGCCACAAACTTTCTCCTAGGAAAAATGCTATTTACAGCAAAACGTAGTTCACAGCTAGGTTTGATTCCTAGTAAAAATACAGCTCTAAATGTATGTTTTGGTTCAGGAGGCTGAATGCTGATCAAGAGATTTGTTGGTGAAACATTACATAGTGTTTCTCAGAAATGAAGCCTCGACTTTGACAAATTCCCAAATATTTGCTATTAAGTAGGTATCAAAATATCTATTATACATCTTTTCTCACATTATGACATATGGCCTATTTGTATCATCTAAAATCTAAGATACATCATTTGATAGGTTTTCTATAAATTAATCAAAACATTTAAATAGATTCAGCCTTCACAAAAATAGTTCTAAGGCAATTTTCTAAGATTACCAATACAGCAAATGGCGATTGCTCTCAAATATATAGTGCATGCGACTAAATTGCAGTTTTTTGGTATGCAGTATCCATAATGCCAGTCTCTTCTATTTGAGATGGACAGCTAATGTCAAAATATGGGAAGAGTTGCAGGGCTTTCCGAAACATTCCTTTTCCCAGGTTTAGAAAAAGCCATCCCTACTTTCCTAAAAAATAAGTCCCTCTGCATTTGAAAAAATCTTTCAATATCTATGGAATTATATAATGAATATGATCTATATTCAGGTTCTTTTTCAAAGACAAAGTCAGGCTATTTGCAACCCAAAAAGGACTTTAGACCTGGTGTCTTTTCTAAGATCCTATGCTCTTCAGTATGAGATGCACAGATGTTCTTGAGACACAAAATGAACATCTAATTTGCTGTCTGGACAGATCAACAATGACCTTAGACCAAGATTCTTCACATCATACAGTATAAGTTTTATTTTCTGTGTTAATATATTTGTCAAAAATGTAAGAATTAGAACAAGAAAATTGGCATGGAAAACCAGGGAGACAGATGCCTTGCAGGCTTGAGGTGGAAACTTAAAAATGATCATGAAAACTAATGTATAAAAATTATAAAAGGCAGAAGTATGATTTTGTATTGGCTTCTTAAAAAGCAGCTTAATCCAACAACACTTTAGGACTGACAATGCTATTGTGTACAT